ACAAAATACTTATATTTTGTTTTGTTTACTTTTTTTTGCTGTTTTTCTGCATATAGTTTTCTTCTATGTATGTATGTATGTTTCATGCTGTGTACGAGTATATGAATAAAAGTGGTTTTGTTCATTCGCTGCTGTTGACTAAAATGACATTTTCTTCTTCTTCTTTTCAGCTTATCTCGTTTTCTAGTGTTGTTCATCTATTTGGAAAGTAATGTGTGCACTTTTCTATAGTTTTTTGTTATTTTAGTTGCATTTTCGTCCTTCGTTAACACATTTTGGTTTCTTATAGACATTACCACATATATAGGGAATATTTAAGTATTGGTAAATGACTCAACTGTTTGTATTTCGCGCGCATTAAATTTCAATATTTTTTGGTGCTTTTCAGCCTTGAAGAAATATATTATTATTTTTTTAATATTAAATTCACTTAATATGTCTTTCAGATAATTTTAGTAAAACTGAACTTTTTATTCTGAATCTCTTGTTTCTTTGAAAAAAATTAAAAAATTAAAAAAAAAATAGTGAAATATAAGGTTGTCACATATCTCTCTTTTGTCTTTTGAATTTCGCTCGTATCTGGCAACACTATACATAATTTGAAAGATCTTGACATAATCTACAAAACAACGCTATGCATGATTAGTTTGGATATTGCGTTCAACAGTTATAGACGTGTAAACATGGAGTTCACTAGCGCCGAAATTGGCGCTATTTTAAAGTTTTACTTCGTTAAAGGCAAATCCGCCAGAGAAACGTTCCGTGAGATTAATGGTGTTTTGGGGGATGACACCATGGATAAGCCAGCCGGCGGAAGACCTGTGACGACAAATACCGATCAAATCATGGAATACATCGAGTTGGACCGGCATATGGCATTTCGTGACATCGCCCAGGAGATGGGAGTTAATCACCAAACCATTTTGAACCATCTGCAGAAGGCTGGATACAAAAACAAGTTTTATGTTTGGGTGCCGCATAATTTGACGCAAAAAAAACCTTCTGGACCGAATCAACGCCTGCGATATGCTGCTGAAACGGGACGAGCTCGACCTATTCTTGAAGCGGATGGTGACTGGTAACGAAAAATGGATCACATACGACAATATCAAGCGAAAATGGTCGTGGTCGAAGGCCGGTGAATCGTCCCATACAGTGGCCAAGCCGGGATTGACGGCCAGGAAGGTTTTGCTGTGTGTTTGGTGGGATTGGAAGGCCCTTGGTGATGTGAAGTTGAACTCAAAAGAGGCTTGTGAAAAGTGGCTGTTCGAATTCTTCGTAAATAAGGAGGGGGGCTTCTAAGAGGAAGGTATTATGAATGAAGTTGCATGGAAACAGATCAACGAACAAAACGGCGCATATTTTAAATAAATCCGATCCCTGTAACACTTTTTATAAAGCATTGAATTAAGAGCCTAAAAGCGAAAGGGAGATATTTGACAACCTTATATATTGACTACTATTATAGATATAGGTTTCTCTGGTTGAATTGTGTAAAAAGTGTGTTGTTGTTTACGTAAGCAGCGTTTCATAATCAATGTCCGTCGCATAATTTTTGTCATGACCTTTTGCTTCGTGTCGTTTGATGTATTTGTCCATATACATATGTAAGTACGCGTAAATGCACATATAGGCTTGGCTTACAACTTCTCTTAAAGCTCACCACTGAACTCTAACCAAAATATTTCCATGGTTAAGAAACAAATGATCATCATGCCCCAAGTCCAAGGGGGTGAGTTTGTCATTCATCTTATGAGAAACCAATTAAATAATTAAAAATAATAAAAATTAATGAGAAATGTCAAGTAAATTGGATAAATATTCTTATAGGAGTCACGTCTTGTTAAAAAATTTCTATGAGCGGTATCTTGGCATTTCCGATTTCTGAAATGATTTTAGTTCAAGCTGCTCCCATCATAGATTGAGCTACTTGAACAACTTTTAAACAATTTTGTTTGGATAGAAAAAAAGTTAGGGTATCAAAAACCTGTTCATCGTACCGTTGTAACCGTTAGAATTACATATCTAGATATTACAAGACATTGAGAATAAGCTTTACGGAAAAATAACACTAAGCACTAAATTTCTCTAGCAGGAAACTTTTTTACTTTAGATGTCCGATTCTCGAGAATTCGCCTTAAATATGTAGCTAAAGGATTAAGGAATGCATTTTCTTTAAATAATTTTTAAGTGACATTTAAAGCAAACTTTACTTAGACAACTGGAAGCGCTTAACGCAATTCGAATCGATCAAATCTGGCTCTGGGGTGCTGACTTAGAAAACATTGACTTGCTTGTCTAGATTATCTAAATATTTTATGATCACATCTCGACTGTTTAGCTTTGTCAAGAAGAACCTTCAATTCCCTAAAATTTTAAGGGTTTCAGACATCGATTGCTCTTCAGACATGTTTAAGACGACTGAACGTCTAGCCGTATTCATATTTCTACCGAGTCCATTCCATACTAAAGTTGGCCGAAGCACTTTGATTATTTCTGTAGCCTTTCCTATTGACAGCCCCCCTCGAAATGCATCTTTAGTTTGAGTTTTTGCTTGCAAGGTACGCAAGTATTTTGAAGTTTTTGGATATATAAAAACTCACTATCCACAAAAATAGAAACAAAATACTTTTGAGATGCAAGTTAAAACAGTCTCGCGGTGTGCTCATGAATACCCACTTTACGGTATGCATCCATTGAAAAACTTACACTCGAAGGGTTGGATTGCCCTGCCTAGAGGCAAGCGCAAATAAAAAAATTTGCGAAAATTATTTACATTTGTTTAAATATATACACTACTCAAGCTATGAAGGGAAGCTCAGCTAAAAATCTGCAAGAGCTTTAATATTCTACTATTATTATTTATTATACTTGTTAATGTTAATTATTTTGTTTTTGGAATAATAATGAGCTTTTAATCGCACTCAATTACATGCAATCGCGCTGTCAGTGTACGTTCGAGGCACTTAAGAATGTTTAAATGTGTATATGTAGATGTGTGTGTGTATGTGTGTGTGAAAAGTCATGTATAAAATTAGCAAGCCAAATTCATTATTTGCTGTATAACTCACCGTCTGAAAACAGGTTTAATTAACCCGTCTAATTTTGTATTTAAAGGTTTTTATTGTTTATATGTAAACTCAAATTCACTCCTTTTAGACTTGAAGTACTAAAAGCTCAATACCATGAGGTATGGATGCAGTATTTAACATTTTGCATGTAAATTTTGCATTTAAATTTTAAGGAATAACTTCTAAAAGTTAGTGAGTTTTTTGGTTAAAAAAAATTGTTCGCCATTAAAAATATTTGTTAAATATATGCTTTATGTTTATAGGATATTTAGAAATATGTTTTCAGAACACTTATGTTATTTTAATTAATTTGCTGTTAAACTAACACAGTTTAAGGAAGTGTAAGTTTACCTTGCACTACTGAAATCGGGTGAAAGTACTAAAATCGCGCATGAGCTTATTTTCCTTATATGAAAGTATATTTTTATTTATAAATTGTTTAATTATATAAATTTCTTCCTCATTAAGCTGGTTGTACAAATATTGGCATTTAAAATAATTTGTGTCTGTTTGTTTGTTTGCCTTTGCTTTCTTGAAAATTCAATACGTTAAAGCAGGTGTTGCAAATAACAAATAAGTACAAAATAAGCGAATATTAAACACAGGAAATAAAATAAATAAATAAACCTTTCTAAAAAAAATAGCTCTTTGGTGCAATAAATGTGGATATGCGAAATCTAAATAAGGAAAACAAAAAGGTGAGAATTTAATTACTAGTCGACAGGATTGATAGGCCATAAGTTTGTGATTAATTTCGTGAATAAAAGTTTTTATCAATCGTTTAACGCTTAAAAAGCTTAGTCAGCAGACAGACGTCTACGGTTTTATGACCAGTAGTAATTTTCATAAGCTTTGATTATAATCTCTTGCTTTAGTGTTGCGGGATTTAAGTAAAACAGGTTGAATTCCGCATTCGAAGGTCTGCGTGGCGAAAACAATTTTGGAAAAATAATAATAATTTAAAGTATATGCCAGATTCAAGCATACAAGCACGTGCGTATGTATGTGTAAATTCTAAAAACCTTATGGCTTTTTATATGTACCAAGGTAAAATATTTAAAAATAACATCAATTTCATTTCAAATTTATGAAGAAAACTATTTTAGGCTTCTATGAATTTTTATTTATCTTTTAACATATAATAAATTTTTAGTAAGTTTATCTGAAATAGGGTTAAAAATAGATTTAAAATTAAACCAGAACGAAACTTCCATTATAAAGTTAAGCTTTGTTTGAATATTGCCCGCGAATTACTTAAGCGCTTATAAGGCGGCGGCCCTACTAACTTAGGGAGAGAGTACACTAGGAGTCAAATCTTGCTTAAGCAAATTTTTTATGCAAATGGCTCCACTCAGTCGTCTGTTTTCAATACTAGTTTTACCACATGATTTTTTTGCAACTCATCTCGACTTATAGGGCGGTAAAATAGGCAAAGATTTGGTGTTAAAAAATTTGCGACTTCTGGTGAAATTTTAATGACCATATGAATGAGTACCCTATACTGAAGATCGGTTTGACAAATAAGTACATAAATCCCCTTATTTTTTTCTACTGGTCAAATGTGATGATCTAATTCGCTGCAGTAAACTGGTGGTTTAGGTACCTCCTCCTACGAGGGAATTTTTCCCTACTCCTATTTTAATTTTATGAAAATATTGTAAAATGCTGAAAATTATGCTCACGCAATTTATAGACAGCCTTCAAAAGTGATTCCAAAAAGCTGTTAATTTCAAATTGGAGATTTTATTTCTGCTCTTTGGGTGAAATTCGTTTCTAATTATTTATTATTTATTTAATTACTTATAAATTCCGTTGGATTTTTAATAAATTTATTCTGAAGATTTTTTGTCTAAATTTTTCAACGAAAAATTAATTCTTCTCTGTTAATTAAAAAATTAATAATTAATAAAAAAACTACAAACTACTCACCCTTTATATATTTGTCACAAGTGGTCTGTTTTACGTCCTTTTTGCAGCAAATTTCACCTAGATGCGATTTCTGGTAGAGTTTAGATACAAAAAAAAAATTTGGAACTTAATTTTTGTTTTCTTGAATATTTAAAATCAATCAAAACATTTCAAATCTTGTAAAAAGCGGACCATTTTATCCCGACACTTGACACTATAGCACTAAACTATTGTAGTTGTTTCTGAGTTTGAATTTAAAGAAACTGAAATTATTTTCTAATTGACATAAAATATATTAAAAAAAAAAAACAAAACAAAGAAGAGATATAAGCAAAAAAAGAGCTGAAAAACAAAATAATTCTATCGACTCTCAATTGATTTTGCGCTGCAGAGTTCATAAAAATTTATGCGCAATATTTTTTTCTAATTAGTTTATTCAATTTCATGAGCATCGCAAATAATTATTTGTATGAATAAAAGTCTAACATTTTTGCTCTTACGTATTACGTACGCGAGTGTTTAAGTCTGCCTTGCAATGAACACCACCCACTTAATGGCGATTGTTTGCGCCAGCGGCGGTGGGAATCGTAATTGAAACCAATAAAGGTATATAATGGAGGCTTACAAAAGCAATAACACTAACAAAAGGCAATAACAAACAACTACAGCGAGCACCAACGTTGCAATAAAAAAAGTAGCATTGCACTTTTAAGTGGCGGAAACAATAACTGGCAACTTTCGAGAGGGGAAACAAATATAAAAATAAAATAAAACAAAAGAATAAAGTCACCAGCAAAATTATTGCTTTCGAGCTTTCGGCAAATAATCGCGAATAATCCGAATTGGCGATCCGGCTCAGTGCTTCAAACTTGGTTCAACAACATGAACAACAAATTTAGAATAATAAGTATAATAATAAAAGTTATATGACGCGCATTTCGAAAGTAGCAATTCCAAACGTTGATTTCACTGTACATATACATATGTGTATCTACAAAAGTATATGTTCATATGTATATATTATAAATATATAGGTAAGTCGTTTGAGAATTTATACGCAGCTTCTGAAAACACGCGCGATCACAGACACTGTTGGCAGTAAATTTTATTAGCACAATATTTTTTCTTGCTGTTTTTTTTGCACTATTCTCTGCTGCTTATTTATTTTCGTCTTGATCGCAATATTCTGATAATTCATTGAAAATAATTTTTTCATCACATAAAATTTTTTTTTAATTTTTCACTGACGGAACACACAGCAGTACACTTAATTTTTTGTTAAATATATATAATTTATTTTTAAATAAATAAAAACGCTTACGTCTCTCTACTCGACACTGACTTCATAAACAAGCGCAGCATGTAATGCTTTATACGAATGAACTGTCTTGCGTACACTTTGATTGTCCGCGCCACGTACGTTTCACGGCGACGAGCGCTCCAAAAATGCCAATTTACACTACAGCAAACTATATTGAGCTGTCACAAACGCCGACTGACTCTGCTACTTGCTGGTATGTATGATTTTAGTCACGAGCAGTTCACTTCTTTGTGAACGAGTGGTTCGTGCTCCACGAGCCACAGTAGCGGTTATTGGGCTCTCACAAAATTCGTGCTACCAGATTCTTGTGAAAATTATTCACTGTTGTTTACCAAATGTACAGAAACTTTTCTCTACAGCACAATTTTATTTATAATTCTGTTGTGATAACAGCATGCTGTAATGTTAACTGTGTTTCTTTGGGCTTACAGTTGTTCAACAATGAAATTTGTACCAATAATTCGGCAATAATTTTTACATTTTGGGCTGATGTAATGACATAACAGATTCTCGTTTACAGAGAAGAGCACGAGATGTAAGTCTTGACATTACTGAAGTACAATTTTTGTCAGCCTCTGTTAAAAGTTATTTATATTGTAGAGGTCCGACCTAAATGTTAATTCATATTTATTATTATTTTAATTATGTGGTTTGATATTTATGATATTTATTCATCATTTAACTAAGTTATATTGCATAAAGGATAAAGGAAATTTCATATGAGATACTTTTAAGAATACGAATTTTTTTCATCGAAACACCATTTTTTAATAAATAAATTAAACAAAAGTCAGTTATCGAAATTTTTAGTTTAAAAATTGAAGATTTAGGATATAGTTAACAAAAAGGGTGGTGCCTTTCGAGGTACTCTACTTTTTCAAAGAAACAAACGCAGAAAATTCAAATTTAACAGGAAATGCTTGTTATCATTCGAAAGAACATTCTTCGACAATTATTTTTTTAAGATAACCTTTTTAAAATGTTAGGCGCGGCTACGTTTCATTCCGATTCGAGTCCGATTTCGATGACTCGTTTGAGCACTTCGACAGGTAACTGGCGAAAGACACGCGTTATGCTTTGTTCTCACGCCGAAAATGAAGCGGAATTATCCGATTAGACTTCAGATATCACCCCACAGGAAAGTCTAACGGTGTGATATCTCACGATCTTGGTGCTCATCGAAACGATCTCACAATAAACCCGTCGCCGAGATCACGAGCTTTAACTTTAGGCATCTCACTCGTATAGCGATTATGGCTGCCAATGATGGTTACGCTCTCACCTCATTTTTGAAGAAATATGGACTGATGTTTCCACCGGCCCACAAACCACACTAAACCATTGTTTTTTCTGGATGGAATGGAAGCTCCTCAGATTGCTCCTCGTCCCAAATGCAGCGATTTTGCTTGTTTCAATACATGTGGTTTGCACCAGAAGTGAGCTTTATCGCTGAACAAAAAATTTGGTTTCGAAACGAGGGATCTTCTTGGAATTTTCGTAATAAAGAAAGCGATTGTAAACGATTTGTGAACGTTGTTCAGGCGTAAATCCATAATGAAATGCCAAAAAATACTGAAAAAAATAACTTCTCATCTTGACACGTCTCTGGAAAAAGGCTCTACAGGATCACCCGTTTTTACTATTATATTATGACATCGAGTTGTTACCTTTGTAGTCATAGACTTATTTCCTGTCGAATTCTTAACCTTGAATATATGTGAAATTATCTCTTAAGGAATTTTGCAAAGGATTTTTTGATGAGAAAGCAAAATATTTTTGTGCTCTTTTGTTCATATATTACTAAAAATTAGGGGATAAATAAGTCAATTAAAAACTTTGCTTTTAGTTTTTATCTTTACTTTGTTGTCGTTTACATTTTGCAGCCTAAACCAACAAAGATAGAAAATATAATTTTTTATTAAATAAAATATGGGAAGTGGATAGTAATGTATTGGGAAATGTGTTGACAGCGGAGTTTTTCAATTTTGTTTGGTCATTTATTTTCCACTCTAAACAGAACGATAAGATCTTTAAGCTGACATGGAGAGCTCTGTTTACCTTTAAGCTCCTTAAAAATAAATTCGGAAATTTCAAGTAAATTTTAAGGCAAGTTCTATGTAACTTATGAATGTAGTGTTATTACTGTTAATATGTTTTTCAACGTAGCCATCCTCAGTGCTATAATTTCATTTTATCTTAGTTCAGCAAATTTATTTCTTCTTTAAATAAATTCTTTACATTAATGCTAAACACAAATAATCATAAAATTCACATAAATATTTTGACACCTTCCCCCATACTAATACAAATAACGGTAAACTCACTCTCACTTGACCACCAACAAATTTCGAATAGCACATAAGAGAATTAATGAAAGTAAATCAGTGTTCATTTTGATGCGTAAACCCTTGAGCATAGACGAGTACACACAAACAAACATACACACCAGACTACAAATTGGTTAACACACACAAGTATGTGACTTACAAACGCAAACGCCTAGATGTACTCTAAATGGCTGGCGCAGACCAACAGGCGACATATAAACCAATAATAAATGGCCGAGGCTCGCAAAGACAAAGAATGCCCAAAGCATGAAATGAATAAAATGCCACTCGAAACTCGGATATGGTCGGTCAGATAGTGAGAGAGAGATTATGAGTCCCGTGGGTATGGTTTATGAATGTGTACATCATAAAAGTTATTTTGAAGATGAGTACGTTTGTGTGAGTAGAAGGCACTGACATGAACTCGTATGTATATGTAAGTATATTTGTTTTAATACTAAATAATTTTGCTCATTTGTTGGCTTTTATGGTGCCTTCAACTTGAGGTTATGGAGACTGCAATGTCCAGAGGGAGGGTATAAGAATAATTGAGCCTACAGTTGTAATTCGAAAATGATCTAAACCTCAATCAGTATATGCATATCTTCGTATGTAGATCTATCAATGAATAGTTAGTTGCGTCTTTGAGAATGCGATTTACTTTTATATATTTTGCAGAAACTCTTTATATATTCACTTAAGGTACAAAAAAACAGTGGCTGCTTCTGGGTTATCAGATCAAGCTACCGCAGGTAAACAAAAAGCTTTTTACATATGAAACTGCAATCATTTCGGTATATACCCTCAGTGGAGGAGTAATGACGCTCCAAAAAATTGAGGTTAACTTAAGACAAAATTAAACAACCCACAAAAAAGCTTTAAAAATCGAAAATTTGAAATGAAAGGATCATGTTCTATAGCAGGGAAGATTCACGTGTTCGATTCTTGCTTATGAGTTCACTCGGATTATTGTAGTTCAGGACACTCTCCTCTGATATCACAGGCGAATTGGGTGGAATTAAAAGCTTTGATGACTGTGACGATTATTTTACCTCGAATTAAATTGAACCTCCATCTGACACTGCAAAGAGCCAAAAGTCTAATGCAAGTTATACCAAAAAGCCCCGGACAACTAAACCCAATCTAAAGAAGAACGTGAAATAAATTGGCTATTGAGATTTTGCTGCTAAAAAGCAAAGTTCGAGTTTACAAGAGAAGACACGCCTTAGCTTGGCCAAGAACGACCGATTTTGATTAAGAAAATTAGCTGAAAATAAGGAAAATTATCTGGAAGAGGAAAAAACCCTTTCTTAAGGTGGCATAGGCCATTATTATTGATACATATTTAATATTATAGCGAAAATGCCAATGCGAAAGTGAAATGATCCCGGTGTGTGGACGAACATTCGGTGGGTATATAAAAGCGAAGACACACAACACTTAAGCAACAGTTGAAGAGAACTTTGCCAGTTGAAACAGTGGAGGGAAGTGTAAGTGTAAACTGTGTGTTTACAATAAAGAATCTGTACTATAATTTGATATTTTTTCTTTAACAGCAAAACGATAAAATCGATTTATATAAGTATATTGGTTGCAATAAATATACCAAAATCCCTATAATATTTTTCTTTCGGTGTTTTTGATTAACAGCTAACTGATACCCATATTCTAACTCGGTGGATTGCATACTTAAAACTTTTTTGGAATATATTTTTGAGTTACGCTTTTAGTGAAATAACTTCAGTATTAAAAAAACATATTTTGCTCTCTGGAATTTCCTTTTTCTCTTATTAAAAAGGTAATTTGAAAGGAGATTTCGGTAATATAATTGCTTCTGTGTACATTTTAAAATCTGCTATTTTATATAAAAAGCCTAATGGATATTCATACATACATACAAACATTTATATAAATAGCTAAGTACGAAAAACGAGCGCTGAGGCAAAATTTGGATCACTCAACACAAAAATCAACTAAAAATCGTAGCAGGAAACAGGAAAATGTGTCAGCTGCAGCTTTGCCGAGTCGAAGTTTCTGATGCGGCAGCTGGTGGTTGGCGATGAAGTTGATGGTGTTGGTGTTGGTGATGTTGTTGGTGCGGTTGCGGCAAACCCCTGATGTAGCACACTTTTTTGCGTAAATTTTGCACTGTGCATATTTGATATCAGCTGTGGCAGTGGCTGCGGCTGCTACTGGTGCTGGTTGGCGTACAACAAGGCCTCACTCACTTTGTGGTGGCTGTTCTTGTGTTCGCTTATTTCACTTTATTTATTTCCTTTGTGTTGTAGTTTATATGTACAAATGCATGTATGCATGTATGTATGTATGTAAGCAGTTAGTTAGTTTTTTGTGTGAACATTTTTTGGCTTGCGACGTTAAGTATGTCATATCCGCTTATAGTGTAGGCCTTCCGCATCTACGAGTACATGAGTGTGTTTGTGTGTGTAATTTTATGTGCGCAAATGAGAAATCGTTGATTCTCACTTCCTCTAAGTGAACTAATTACATTTTTAATTAAGTTTTTAATACTCTTAAGGGTTGGCACCGATTTGTTATTTTACTGGTTAAGACTTCATAAACAGCGAGATTTACCAAGCGGGCTTTTGCGAAATTAATCGATAATTTGTTGTTTCGGCGAAAAGAACTTGACATTTTTTCTACTGAAGATGGATAGTTTCTATTACTGATTAATTTGAATTGACTATTTTAAATACGTTTCAATCAAAATTCAAGTTAGATGTAAAAAGCTAGAGTTAAAGTATTCAAAGAACTTTCAAAGAACGGAAAATAATATTATGTGGTAATTTTATTTTTAGTGGGGACAGGCATCCCTTTAAGGTATGAAAATTATATAACTTCAATTAC